CACATCGCTGCAGGTCGCCTGTAATTCGTTGGTTGATGTGCAGGATGTGATTATATTCTGTGCGGCATCTGTTTTCATGGCCTAGATGTGTTTGTATTCTGAGCGCCACTGTTTTTCTTTGTTTATGTCTGTATTTTTATACCTGATGTGTTTCTGGCTTTCCACGTTGCGGCGTATGTTTATGTCATCTGTGTGTGTGTATGTGTGTATGTATGCATTTGTGCATGTGTACGGGAACCTGGTGTCGTTGTACATGGTGTATTGCTAGTTTTATTGTAGTTTAAATATCCGCTGCAGTGTTTCAATCCTCTGTAAGTTTGTGCTGCAAGCGCTCTGAGTGGCAGCTACTGATGCAGTTGACTCGCTCACATCTCCACATTAGGAGCAAGAGTTTCACATTCAATAGGAAACCGTTCAATAGTCTCGGAGGCATTCTGATATTTTAGGATAACTTCAACTACTTTTTACACAGTTCGACTTGGCTGCATTTTATGTCTGTTCATATCGTGTAACAGACTATCACTGAGACAGTAAAATAGGGAGACTATATTTTGGGGGATCTGCACTCATAATCTTGACTGGTTTATACAAGGCACAGGGAGAAGGTGGCAGAGTCACTGTGTGTGTCAGACATTTACACTGAGAATGCAGTCAGGATGACTGAAACCTTGACCTGTCCCTTCACTGGGTAGAGGTCTGGGTGAGGGTGTGTTGAAGTTGAGCAGCTCTCGGCCCCACGCTCTCTGCCGCTGGTGATCAGACACAGAGGCTGAGAAGATTCCACAATAAACTCACAGACTCTCACTGTGTCGCTGCTCAGGCGCCGCGCCCACCATTAGGAGGTGTTTCTCATTGTCCTTATTTATGTATAAAATATATCTGTGTACGTCGACTTATGGTCCAAAGCTTTTATTTAAATTAAAAGTTTCAGTCATGTGCTGATGCCTAAGCTTGTCTCGATTTTTAAACAGGAGCCAGAGTTATCTCACCCCCTCCTTCTATAGTGATGGCCTACAGTGTGATAATTCACAATTTCAACATTGATCACTTTCCTCTCAGTACCCGAAAGAGGAAGGAGAGATTATATATAACCATTCAAACTTTATTAAAAAATGATCAAGTAAGACAATGAACAGTTGTGCTAACATAATTATTTTTTATTTTAAACTGTATTTCTGATCACATTTTATACAAGGCTTTGAGCAAGTTTATCTTAAAGCAACACACACCTGCATTACGATTTAAAATCATCAGAATTTCTTCGGCTAAAAAAGACCACGGTCCTTCTAGTTCGCCTTCCACCATCCGGACAGTCGCTTCAAATGTCTTGTGCCAAAACATATACTGTGTCCCGAGACATTATTTTCTTGCAGAAACCTATCTCAATTGATCCTGAAATGAAGCACTTTTATCCTCATGGTCACGCTCTGCAGACTGTTCCATACGTTTACTCTTCGTGCACTGAAGTAATGTTTCGGAACATTTCTTCTGAATTTACCCTCCTTCATCGCAGGCCGTGTGCTCTGGTTCCATTCTTCAGAATAAGATAAAACAGCTTTTCATATTCCTCATTTTACCCCCATTGGCTGCTACATTTCCCCTCCAAAATAGTCAAAGGAAAATAGGAACATCGGCTGTTTAACCTCACACTAGTCAGCTCCTCGCCAGATGCAAACTTCCACATCTTTGACAGTGCCATTAATAGATTAACAAATTTGATCTAAGATTACTAATACGTTTATAATTAAGAAGGTTCCAACAACAAGATTCTCATTTTTCGGCTACAGCTGCGTGTCCGGCTCTTGCTCTCTCTCTCTCGCCTCCGAGTCAGGAGGATGTGGGTTCGGTCCGCAGCTGTTTGGGGGATACTGCTGTGCACAGTTGCACCCCGAAACGATACAGTCGATAAGCTTTACACTATATTTTCTGAAGCGCTTTGAGACGTCTCAATGATATAATCAGGCGCGATATCCAATGCAAGAAACACTTTTAGTGTTAGTAATCTTATATGAATATATATAATATATATACTTATATATAATGTGATATATATATATATATATATCACTATTTCACGAAGACTTATTGCACCTTGTAATTCTATCACGATCATTTGATCATAATATATATTGTGCCAAGCTCGGTCAGGAGGTATCGCCATCTGAGAGAGAAGGCTTTGCCCCCAGTCATGGCTTTGAATTCAATTTGTCCCGTGGTGACGCTCCAGTGCAGGGCCGGGAGTGTCCTGGATTGTCCGGTGCACTTCCCGTGGAACATTAAACTAAGTCATTTCTACCCGTTCAAATATCCCATAGCACTATTCCAAAAGAGGATGCCGTTTCTCTTTTTCTGTGTCTTGGCCACCAGTCCCCCAAATAAAATTGGTCAATTGCAGCATCACTGTTAATACAACACAGTCGCACACAATTGAGAGCCGGCTTGGCCCAGTGGCCACTAAATGATACAATATTGTATGTCCATTTGCCAAAAACAATATTATATTCGAATACATTTTAATGACTTACTTATTTCGTTACCAGAAATGTAATACTTTTTTTCTTTGGGTGCATTACAATTAACTCAGCAATAGGTGCATAACGACACGAGGTTAAGAAGCAGATTTCAGTGAACGTCCTATGAGAATCAGATCTGTAGCAGTATATACTATTGATGGATTTTGTGATGGTCGTTTTAGAAGGTAGAATATTTGTTGTTACATTTTTAGAAATATAAATTATACATTATAGTTATCAACACATCTTTTATATGGTAAAGATGCGGATAGATCGTGGAATGTAATTAAATGACTGACAGGTTTTTAGGTGTCGAGAAAGTTGACATTAATTATGGGACAGCAAGCTCTGAATTGTATTGAGAATAATCTTTAAAATTGGTGCTGCTTCTTTCACTCTCTTACATTGCGCAGATAGTGCTTGAAAGGATGCAATATTAAGTAGAATGATTCTGTATATTTCGAGAAATTTGTGTATAGCAATGTACCAGAAATAGCAATGAAGGAATGGCCATTTTTGAAGCCGTATGACGTCACTTCAGTTGATTCAGTTTCAATCTTTCTTCATTGAATTTATTGGTTAACAGCTTGTGGATTAGAATTGAAACATTCTTTCAAATATCACAAATTTCCAACTCTTTGATTTGAAGATAGATCAAGTGGATTTAATGGACATAGTGAACCTGACTTAATTTTCTGTTCAAATACCTACAGAGTTACGACATCTCATAATTTTTATTCTTCAATTTACCAAAGAAGGACAATTAACTAAACCGGAAGTTGTATCGTTGACAATTGTTGGATGTTTCTTGCACAAATATGTGTTCAATTCACTTTCCAATCTATTCTGTGAAGCGCTTTGAAACGTCGTGAAGATGTGAAAAGCGCTATATCAAATGCAAGGATTATTGTTATCATTGTTTTATTCATTAGAAACATCAGTAGAAAAATGTAATGTACAAGCAATAATAGGAACTAAACACTTGCACAGAAGTGTAGGTTGGGATCAATATCCCGAAAATTCTTTATAATCTGATATCTTTCACTTGCAGAAGATTCTCAAGATGCGTCATACGATTTCCAGTATAGTATGCTTTATAGGCGAAACTGGCAACAAATGCGCACAGCAAATGCCTATCAATAAAAATACAATAAAATATAAGTTGCTTCAAATGTTGGCCAGTACATACGGATAATTCGCTTCAAATAATATAATGGGAAGAATTGGATAACTAACATATGCCAGAATTGGGCACAGATGTACCTCATTATATTGGATAATTGCCTCTACACAGACAGGGCAGCGCAACGTCCAAAGACATCCAAATTAATGCTTTGTGCTCTGCAACTACCAAGATATTTTGTTCCACTTGATATTCCATTAAGACTTGCGTGCTCTGCCCCTTCGCTTCAGGAAATTTTGTTGCAGCTATCGAGGAGCTAAATGATCATCTCTCCTCCACTTTCAACTCATTTCTCATATGAAAACTACGGTCAACTCCAAACGAAACACTTCCCCCAAAACAAGTGTCACCTTGGTATCTGAAATCCCAGGACCATATCGCCAAGGGAGATAACAAATACCTTCCTCAGGATTGTCTGTCAGATTTCCCCCTGTGTCACTCCTGAGGTATGGTGCCAAAAAGTGAATGGCGTGCTCAACGTAGGTCTGTCCAGTGATCACAACTATTTTCCATTTTCATCACTAACCCTCCCTCGAAAGCCTTCCATCTTCACTTAAAGTGCCAAATTAAATGAGATCACGATCTTCTATCAGATTTCCAGACAGATAGCTTCAATTCAGAACAACTCGCTGTGACCTAAACCTTTTGATTAATTTACTTGTGTTATTGGGATGTAGAATTTGCAATCACATAAATTGTTCTAAATAAGATCCACTTTGAGTCGAAACTGAAAGAGAAGCAGTTTGAATTCACATAGCACAACAACAACTCGGAGTTCTTAAGGTTGCTAGAACTTGATGATGGATCATGGAGAGTCGGGAGGTCATCAAACTACTTGCTACCTTGTGATCATGGTGCCTTACAAATGCAACTTGTTGCAATTATTTGAGTTTTTGCATCAAGATCGATATATGTGGACGGACCGAGGGAAGGAAAGAAGACCTGAGGTTGAGGGAATATCTATGAGTATAGAAAAGTATACGAAAGACCAGGCTTAAAAAGGGTAGGATCAGGGATGGGTAGAAATACGGAAGAACAGCTTGCTGTGATAGCACGAACAAACGTGGTGTGTGAAATGGCCTCCACTGATCACTGCTGTAAATATCTCTGATTCTTCTGGCACGTTTCCACCTCTGGCTGTTTGTGATTATATGAGACTTATGCCGTCTGATCACTGACTCATGGACTAACGACAATAATATTATGAGTTTCAACTTATTTCACTTTGCATACATCACCTAAATTGAACATCATCCGAAATAACCTTCTAAAATATCTAACTGACGAAACCTTTTCTGTTTCAGGTCCACAAGTCGATAGTCAAGCTAAGGAATTAGGTGAGATCATTTTTGATAATTTATTCGTTCCGCAGCGCAACATTCACTAAAATACCATTACATCAAAACTATGCTGCCAAGACCAAACTCCGCACTCGCAACACTCCAGCCTCGGCTCATTCTCCCGACATAAGCGGTGTTAAATATAATGCAAATGTAATTTTCTGCAGCTTTTATACTTGACAGTCTCCTTTGGCTTCCACTAGCAGAACAAATATTTTGAGCTATCATCATATGATGCAGTAACCGTCCTGCATACACTCCACTCATCAACCAACACCATCTGTCCACTGGCTTCGGCCTCAATGACAACTACTTGCATTTTGATAGCGGCATTCATGCAGCGTAGCGTCCCAGAGCGCCTGCGACAGCAGTTCCGCGACCGAGAGAAAGAGGGAGGTCGAAGGGAAACTCTTCCTTTATTATACAAACGTGTAGTCAAGGAGTGGTTATTGAGGAAAAGTGTTCCAGTGTTTCTGGACAAGCTCTGCCCTGTTATGGGTTCGGAGACACGACGAGATGTATTCAAGTTGCGGGAAAAAATCATCACATCAAAAGCAATACCTTGTTGTATTCTTTTATATATGCAGCGCCTTTTTCACGACGGTTTATCGGTGAGAAGCTCTGCATACATACAAACAACACAGTCCTGGAGCTCAGTGGGTAGAGCACTCGCTTTACAAGCGAGAGAGCTGAGTTCAATTCCACGTAGGGCGAAACCTTGGGCAAGTTTCCTTACTCCACACGCCTACTAATAATCCCTCCAAATAAACAACAGAAACAATAATAAATTGGTAATTTTCAATCCACTGCTCTTTGTGGGACGCTGGTGTGCTCAATTGGCTGCTGCGTTCGCCCACAAATATACAGTTAATGCACTTTACCGTCTATACTGTGAAGCGCTTTGAGACGTAGAGAAGACGTGAAAAGCGCTATATCAAATGCAAGGATTGTTGTTATTATTATTGTTTAATAAACAAGAAAATACTGTTCTTATTGTGACGATCTATCCCGCAACTTCAAAACATGGCATCTTGGGTCTGTCCTTGTATTTTTTCTTTGCTTACAATCCTGAATTCAGACGAATATTTCCTCTACTTGTGTGAATTTTAAACTCATATTTGTGGGAACGCTCAAGGCGATTTATGTCTTCCATGTGATCACGACAACTTTAATATATGCTGACTGATTGCTTCTCTGTGAGAAGTGTGTGAATGGAATCTAAACTGATCTGCTCCCAGATCCCCTTTTCCCCACCTCATGTCATCTCCTATTTTAACCAACGCATGTAACACACGTTTAATATGCTCGTTCTGTACTTCAAACCATCTCAAGATTTATACGTTCCTCCAGCCTACTCTCCCACCCAACTATCCACACCTCGATTCCAGTCCACGTTCACCTTTCGGCTTGTATCAATTATACCACATATTAATATGGTCCCACATCCCGCTAAACCAATGAATGTTAGCTGACATGTGGGGACACCTCTATATGCCGCAACTCTTCCAGCGCTTCACAGAATTTACTGTTAAGAGCAGTGACTGTGCAGGCAAATGCGGCAGCTGGGTTACCTACAACGAGTATAACTATTATAATTATGATTATCTTGCGTGATTGGAATGAAATACAAAGGCGTGTTGCTTGTGTCATTTTTGCAGATCATTTGAGGCTGGTGAGTGGCAGCAGCCCCTGTGCCGGGAGAGTGGAGGTTTACCACGATGGGCAATGGGGCACAGTGCACGGTTCTGGCTGGGATCTGAAGGACGGGAATTATTATTATAATTATGAGTATCCTGCGTGATTGGAAATCAAATTCAAATACGTGTTGCTGGTGATGTTTTTGCAGATTATTTGAGGCTGGTGAATGGCGGCAGCCCGTGTGCCGGGAGAGTGGAGGTTTACCACGATGGACAATGGGGCACAGTGTATGGCTATGGCTCTGGTGGCTATGGTTGGGATATGGCGGACGCGGCTGTGGTGTGTAAGGAGTTGGGCTGTGGAGCCGCGCTGTCAGCATCAGGAGACGCTCACTTTGGCAAAGGCTCAGGTCCCGTTGTGACGTACAATGTTCAGTGCAGAGCGAGTGAGTCTACTCTGAGGGACTGTTAGTCACAGTCCTGGAGTCACGGTTCCTTCCCACACGACTATGATGCCGGGGTCATCTGCTCAGGTAAATAATTTTCTGTCTCCCATCAATTTTTTCAATTCTCATATTTTCGGTAGACCACAGTTTGAGAAACTCTGATAGAGATTGCATTCCACATGATGTCAGTTTGTCAGTTTTAAATCCCTAGTTTTTTGGGGGGCTCACACCGCCTCCTTCCGCTCCTCACCACCCCCCAACCTCTCTCCCGCTTCCGCCCACCCTCCAGCCCCCCTCCGTCGTTCAATGTTGATTTTCTTTAACCTCCGTGTTTCTGCACAACTGTGGCTTCAATCCTTCAATGAAATAAGTTTTCAGCACGGAAGTAAAATATATTTATTTTAAATATATGCGTCCTTAAGATAATAATTAATATTTAATCCTAGAGAATGCCTCAATCGCCTGGCCAGCACCTCGCCCGGCACCCAACCCCCGGCTAGAGATCAACCACTGTTAAACGGTCCTAGACATGTTACATGATTGCAAGTTGTTGTTTTTTAACACATTTTCCCTTTCCCGACCAAAATGTCTCAGATAATACGTAGTAATCAAATGTGACAGTAGATCTTGTGAAGAGCTTCGAGGCGTCCACCTGTCATAAAAGACTCAATTTAAAAAATGACGATGGTTATAATCTGGAATTAAGTTTGCAAGTGGTAAAAATATAATTTTCTAACTGCGGTATGAAGCCTGCGTGCAGGAGTGTTTATTATTTCAACTCAAACGTCTTTCCGTCCTGCCCCTCTAGCACACTTGCTGCGCTGATGATTGCCCCATCACCTCCTTAATAATAATAGTAATAATAATAATCCTTGCATTTGATATAGCGCTTTTCATGTCAGGAGGACATCCCAAAGCGCTTCACAGAACACACTGTAAAGTGAATTGACTATATCTGTGGGCGAACGCGGCAGCCAATTGCGCACAGCAATGTCCCACAAACAGTCGTGGATTGCAAATGACCAATTTATTATTATTTTCGGTTTTCGAGGGATTATTATTAGGCGCGTGGAATAAGGCAACTTGCCCAAGGTTTCGGCCTCTGCCTGGAATTGAACTCAGATTTCTCGCTTCAAAGTTTTCAGCCCGGAGCTAAAATATATTTAAACCCGCATTGCGTCCTTAAGGTAATAATAAGTATTTCATCCAAGACTGTTGCTTAGTCGCCTGGTCAGAACCTTTCATATTTTGTGTCACCCGCCTATGGTTATTCTTCACCATAACTATAATTATAATTGTAATTAAAAAACGATTTTGATTATAATTTGGAATTACATTTGTAAATGGTAAAAAAAATCTAACTGGAGCATGTATCCTGCACATAAAAGTGTTTATTATTTCAACTCGAACAGCTTTTCGTCCAACCCGTCAAGTTCATTTGCTGTGCTCCTTCGTCCTCCCGTCTCCTCCTTATCCCCTACATCTTCTTGGTGATATATATTGACGCTTGGCCAAAACTGCAAATTATTCCACGAACAAAACACAGAATCATTGATCATAATGAATCGTGAGAAGAGCTTTCAGGCTTCACCTCAAAGAGAAAGCCCATGTTTCAGAAATCTCTTTCTCCCCAAAACATTTCCTTTCACAACCGACTGCCTGGACCATAATTTTTTAAGAGCAATATATTGTTCAACTTAGTGTGACATAACCGAAGCCATCCTTTTTGGTTCCCACGCGCATCTGTTCATCTCTTTATCTTTGGCTCCGCATATCCACCTCCTTAAGTATAGCATACCGACTTTAGTCTCTTTTCCTCTGTCTTAAATATCGCCTTCCGTCTATAGCTATTCCCAAAGAATCCGAAAGCTTAATGCGTGTCCTCGTACACAGACGTGATGTCTCCTGTTATTTCCAAACATTCTTTCCCAGCTGAACACAAGCTCCACATCATTTATTCCTGCAGGACAGGTTTGTCGCGCACGAATAGATGCATTTTGACCTGTTTTCAGCAGACATATAATTCGATGTAATACTTTCTGTGATCTCTTGCCTTCTGAAAACAATATCCGCTGCTGGAGTATCCATCACTCCATGCTCATCTGCTGATAAACCTCGGAAAACCCAATGCCTCTCGCCCGCAGTTTACCATGTGATGGTATTGATAAGGTCTCCGGTTTTGTTGTGTTTTGTTGCATATAGATATTGAAAGTATCCTTGATGGTTATTTATTTTCTGTAATTGGCAGGAACTAAAACTCCCAGACTGGTGAACGGAGGCAGCAGGTGTTCGGGAAGAGTAGAGTTGCACATCATGGAAACTTGGGGTACAGTTTGTGGAGATACCCTGACCATGGAGATTGCAGAATATATTTGTAAATCTTTGGGATGTGGATTTCCTGCATCAGTATCCGGTGACTCTCGCTTTGGAGAAGGTTCGGGGTCAGTTATTGGTCGGCCTGACTGCGGACACGAGCGAGATGGTGGCATAATCTGTTCAGGTACAGCCTTTCTAAAGGGTCAACATATATTTTATCAACACAGGGGCAGTGTTAGAACGATTGTTCTATGTCTGTTTGACTCGTAAATTACTTTTTAAATAAAAAAAGGATTGGTGAAAATCGGCATGGGCGATAGTACCAACAAATATCACAATGTGAACAAACCAACTCGTGGTTCAACATAATTCATCAGGTTTTTCTGTCAGGCTCTGCCAGTAATCATAATTTACACAAAGCACTTGAAGGGGCAGAAAGATTCCTTCTACACTGTCCATTTCTCAGCCTTACAGAGGTAAAGGGACGCCAATCTTAACAGTAATTATCGCAGAGGTATTCCTTCTGGGCATTTGGGTAAAATTTTCAAATTCATGCTAAATACAGACAGATTATGAACCGTGTTTATAATCTGTGGTTTCTGTTATTTCCCTGCTCATTCTGTCAGAGCTTCATTACGCAGCAGTTGCTGTTAAGCCGTTTGGAAAGTAACATTAACATGTATGAATAATCTAGTATTGTGTTGTTTTGAAGCTTGGTAAAACACGTGGAGGTATGTTCATATTCCGCATCACTGCCTGAGTCTCTTGAGATGAATAGTCATGTAGGTTTCTGACTCTACACCTGTGATCATTCTTTCAGGTTTAACCTGTTTGCTGTCTGTAACCAAAGGTTCTGTCAATCACCAATCGCTATGCCTTTCGTTTGTATTGTTAAACTTATTTTTATCATAATAATTCCTGTTGCGTTAACTCTTCCACTGCAGAATATAATTCCCTAAAGTTAGTCGGTGGAAACAACAACTGTTCTGGCACAGTTACGCTGCAGCGCGATTATAAATCAGGAACCATCTGTAATTATTACTGGGATTTAAAGGACGCCGGTGTTCTCTGCAAGCAACTGGATTGTGGATATGCTTTATCAACTGGTCCTGGAGCACAGATTGGGATACTAACAGGTCTTATTTGGAAAACTAACTTCAATTGTATTGGTAACGAGTCTTTGTTGTGGGACTGTCCTGCATCATTCTGGGAGAAGTTCAGCTGCACACATGACCATGACGTTACTGTTGTATGTTCGGGTGAGTGAAATAATAATACAAATTGCATTTGATATATGGACATACTAAGTCGCTGAGACGTCTCAAAGCTCTTCACGGAGTAACCTGTAATCTGTGGTTTAGACGAAAAGCCAACAACTATAAATCAGTTGAGACATTCTCTCCCAAGTCAAATACAGTCCCTTTTNAAAAAAAATGGGCTCTCCGTTTCAGACAGAGCGGTGACCCCTCATTCCCACATTGCAGGCTGGTCCTGTTAAGGCACAATCTCTGCTTTTCAGGCTGTGACTATTTGCACTGAGCTGCAGGTCTGCGGTCTGCTCTCATGGTACCTTTTATTGCCTGTTGTTTATGTATAGTTTTGGACACTGATAACATCCCAGTTTGTGAAATTCTTCTTATTCCTACGTTATGGTAGAGTTTTCCGTATCATGATGTCGGTCGTGCTGTCAAATACGAACTGCCATATTTCAGTGATTATCTTGTCTTCGGCTCTCACACGTTTTCTTTCCGGAAATGTTGATTGAAAATCGTTGCAGGAACACAGTGGCACTTGCGGTTAGAGAGCGGTGGGAGCCGCTGTGATGGGCGAGTGGAGATTTATCATAACGGTACTTGGGGCAGATTGCTGGACGATTCCTGGAATATATCAGATGCCGATGTCATCTGCCGACAGTTGAACTGTGGCTCTGCCATTTCAGTCTACAACTCTTCCCAGTACGGGGAAGGCAGTGGACCTGTGTGGATCAATAATGTTCAGTGTATGGGAACCGAGACGCACATCTGGAACTGCCCACATTCCACAGTGGCTTCATCCTCCGGGAGCAGCCGGGATGTGGGAGTGCTTTGTTCGGGTGAGTGCATTTGAGTGATAAATAGAATAAATGGAATAAATCTTTGTTAATTTTGGCAACACATTGCTAAATAACTTACATTATGCCTCTCCCTCGGTGAGTGTCTCATCTTCATTGATGTAGAAATGTCCCACCAGTTTGAATTACTCCACCTGTGATGCTGGGACAAGATTATGAACGTCAATGCACAATGAAAGTTCACACATATACATTGAGTATCAATTAATTTTTTTGGATGACGAATAATATTAAACCGCAAACGATCTCTTTATATCCTAAATAGAAATTTGACATACTGTTTTACTTTGCAACAGGACACAAACAGCTTACACTAAACGAATCAAATTGGAAAACATTTCGTACTGGAGTTCAGAGTTCAAGTGAGTGAACGTTTACCAATACTTTTTTATTTCACCAGGAGGTTTTAAATAGCATTTTAATTTGGTGCATGTTATGCCTTGAATTAAACTTTCCTCAGTTTCAGCAGAAGATGTTCAGATCAGACTGATGGACGGTGGGAGTTCGTGTGCTGGGAGAGTGGAGATTTACTACAACGGAACCTGGGGGACGGTGTGTGATGACTCCTGGGGATCACTTGAGGCGAATGTTGTGTGCGAACAGCTCGGATGTGGATCTGCAGTTCATACAACATCTGCGGCCACTTGTGGACGAACCTCAGCTCCAGTTTGGTTGGATGACGTGAGATGTTACAGGAAAGGAATCAGCTCTCTGGGAATGTCCCTCTTCTCCATGGGGGCAACATGACTGTTATCATAAAGAAGATGTGAGCATCGTGTGTAAAGGTAAGAGATTAAGCACTTTGTCTTACATCAGCAAATTCCACTGATAGGGTGTGAGCTTGGATCAGATTTTAGCACTTTCTCCATTCAGGTAAATGGTATTTGGTTTCAAAGGCCTCATGGAATATTCTTGGCAAAAGCTAACAATTCAGTGCAGTAATCTTTGCCTCTGATGGTGTTATTACCTGTTCACCTGAGAAAAAATGATCCCATGGGCAATGCTGGAAAAGGCAAGGATGATTGCCTTTGTGCCGGGGCCAACTATCCTGGCGATGAAACATGTGGAGTCCTGTAGATCGGTGGTTAGAGCACTCGCTTTGCAAGTGAGAGACCTGATTTCAATTCCAGGCAGAGGGCCAAACCTTGCGCAAGTTTCCTTACTCCACACAGAGTCTAATAATAATCCCTCCAAAACCCAAAACAATAATAAATCGGTCATTTTTCAATCTACGACTGTTTGTGGGACATTGCTATGCGCAATGGTGCCGCGTTTGCCACAAATATACAGTCAATTCACTTTACAGTGCGTTCTGTGAAGCGCTTTAGGACGCCTCCTGACGTGAAAAGCGCTACATCAAATGCAAGGATTATTATTATTATTATTATGTTCTATTTGTGGTTAGATGTGGGATATTGCATGGCAGTATGTGTCTAGATGTTCCGTCACCAGTTAGAAACAGGTGTAAAAATAATAATAATAATCCTTGAATTTGTTAGTGTGCTTTTCACGTCGGGAAGACGTCCCAAAGCGCTTCACAGAATGCACTGTAAAGTGAATTGACTGTATATTTGTGGACGAACGCGGCAGCCAATTGCGCACAGCAATGTCCCACAAACAGTCGTAAATTGAAACTGACCAATTTATTATTGTTTTTGGTTTTGGAGAGATTATTATTAGGCTCTGTGTGGAGTAAGGAAACTTGCCCAAGATTTCGCCCTCTGCCTGGGTATGAACTCAGGTCTCTCGCTTCCAAAGCGAGTGCTCTAACCACTGAGTTACAGGAGGAAGATTGACTACGTTGCAGTTGAGAGATTTCACTTCCATCATAACACCATGTTGCCTCACAGAGCACAAGATGCTGCGGCTGGCGAGTGGGCAACATTCCTGCGAGGGGAGAGTGGAAGTGTTTTACAATGGGACCTGGGGCACAGTCTGCTCGGACTCCATGGGAATGGACGAAGCTGAGGTGATCTGCAAACAGTTAGATTGTGGCCGAGCTCTGGACGTTGAATATGATGGTAAATTTGACGAAGGATCTGGGCCTATTTGGTTGGATGACATGGAGTGCAATTCAAAGGAATCCTTCCTGTGGCAGTGCTCCTCACGACCTTGGGGTGAACATAACTGTGCTCATTCGGATGATGTGGGTGTGATATGTACAGGTAGTAAAATGTCCCTTAGTTCACATCTCTGATTGAATATTTATTGTGTTTATGTTTGAACCAGTTTGCTTATCTGATGTATTTTTGATGCAGAGAAAGCTCCGGAAAAAAGGGAGAGGGCAAAACTATGCGATGGGAGATCACCGGATCATCAGATTCGTTTATCAGGTACTGAATGAAAAATAAATGAATGAACAGAATTTGTATTTGTTATCAAATCATTCACATCAGGTGGAATTCTAAGTGCGCTTCACATTATCCACTGTAACGTGGTTTGACTGCAATGATAATAATCCTTCCATTGGATAATGCGCTTTTCACGTTTTCTTGAATTGTCAAAGCGCTTCACGGAATTTACTGGAAAGTGAAGCGACTGCACATTTGTGGGCGAAACGCGGCAGACAATTGAGCACAGCGGTGTCCCACAACCAATTGTCGATCTAGTGATCAAATTATTATCACTAATGTTTATTTTTGAAGGTTTATTTATAACAGATCCTGTAAATAATACTTTACATGATAAATTCTATTGATGACAATATGGAAGAGTGCGTATTTTATTGGTGTGAGTAACTAACATGTGATATGAATACTGTCTATCAATACGTCCTCTCGACGCGAAATTCGCTATACAAATGTAATCTTGTTGTTGTTGTTGCTGTCTGATCAGGACAGGAGTTGCGGTTGGTTGGAGGAAGCAGCATTTGCTCGGGGAGAGTTGAGATACTGAGCAATAACACGTGGGGGACGGTGTGTGACGACTCCTGGGATATCCGAGAGGCCGGTGTGGTGTGCGGACAGCTGGACTGCGGCCCGGCCGTGCGGGCTGTGGGACAGGCGGGGTTCGGACAAGGCGCTGGTCAGATATGGCTGGACGAGCTTCACTGCAGAGGAAGCGAATCCTTTCTGTGGGATTGTGTCTCCGCATCCGCGGGTCGCAGCGACTGCGTTCACAAAGAAGACGCCGGTGTGGTTTGCTCCGGTAGGGATCCGATCTCTCAATGTTCATCGACAAATTTGAGGNTTTTTAAATTATTCTCAACAAAAGCAGATTAATTCTGACTTCATTTGATGCCAGAAATTGAATGGTTACTGGATTTATGTTGTTCGCGATGTTTTGCAGGTAAACCTCCCAGACCGCCATTCCCAACCGCATCCTTTGGTAAATAACATAAATACTTGACTTCTTGCTAACACATTGCTTAGCTTTCCTACATATTACCACCAGGTATTGCCATTCATTCGTAAAAACATTAATATATCCAAACCAGTATATTTGTCAACTAACCTTTCAGTAGTCAACACTTGAGAAATGAACAGACTGTATAACTACATTTTAGAAATTAACAGGCGTTTAACTTCAGGAAAAGTGCTGCATCAGTCCAATTTTTCAGATAGTTTGGGCATTATTCTGAATACACTGTGGAACATATCATATCACTGTGCAATAATTTGCTTCAGATAACGTTCAGTTTAGTGTGAAGCATTTTTCTTTATAGTTTCGAAAGTGTGACTACCACATGTTGTACAACAATAAAATAACATATGTTATGTCCTTGACTTGCAAAGTCCAGTTGGTCAACATACCTTTCGTGGTCTGCATCGTCCTTGGAATCCTGTTAGCGGTGGTACTGTTTGCACTGATTGTACAGATGGACAGTAATTCTTCAGGAACAGGTGAGACTGGAATCTGATCTCACAGCACTGCCTGGAGCTTCTCTATCAATTCAGATAAAATCCTGTTGATGCACGTGTCTGTTTTTGTTAATTTAATACTCTTACCTGTTTTTACCGTCTCGATTTCATTGCCTTTGTTCACGTGTTTCTGTAAACTGGCACAAACTAAAATTAAAGTCATATACGTTTAAATGCGTAGCTCAAGCACAAACACAGATGCATAAAAAAACCCACCAGACACAATTAGGCCTCAACGGAAACTGAGCGCAATAACATATTTTCCATAAAGGATACAAAAAAAATGTAGTTAAACTGACACAAAAACGTAGATACGCAAAGCATCACATATACACAGTTGTATTAACACACCAACACACAGAGCTAAGCACATAGTTGTAGGTATCTAAATACAAATGCACAGTCGATTGAAACAAACACTGACAAAAACAAGTACACTGATGAATAACGAGGCAATAGTGACGATGATATATTGATATTTTCAAATAATAATACTAACATAATATGTTCCAATTATTTACACATCAATTTCAAACTCCACTGTCCAATTTCAGGTTAATATTTTAATTTCTGTACATGTCAACTTCCAACAGAGGAAAAATATCCGTCTGTTCGTTTGTATCAAGCAATTTATGAAGAAATTGAGGATCGGCCGATCAGAAGAAGAAACTTCGAGGCTGACTCCACTGGTACATACTTTACAATCATGTTTATTGCATCCGCATCATTGTACAAAAAGCATCAACATTAGTATCCCGATTGGTGGCAAATGCAAATGATTGAATGCGCTGTGGATAGGATTTCAAGCTTTTATTCAGAGAACTGAAAAATCCACATCCAGTTGCGTTGTATCAATTTACCCACTTAATAGAGATGAAACCTACTCAATACTTCAATTTGTTCGGTCTTTCAATTTTCAAATATTATCACCGATGATTTCTGCATTTACCAATTAAATTAAGTTACATTATTTAATTTAATATACAATAAAATAACTGCTAGACAGTGGGTTTTATCACTTCACCAAAACGAATCCTACAGAAATTAATATAAGCGATGCTTATTGTGTGTCTGTAGTCCCAGCGAATATCTAAAATAATACCATGTTGTCAAATGTATCATTTGTAACCCAAACAGAGGCAGTATTCAAAAATCATATTAATATTATTTAACCAACTTGCTCCTGGTATGTTAAAGATATTTCTTCTTGATCAACATCATATTTTTGAGCGGTTGACCATATTTTCATCCATGGAAAGTGATCCACGATTTCGGAAAACAACTCTCATTTTTGATACCTTTCTTCGTTTTGATATTGGAGTAGAATTAGGCTCTAAGAACCTCTGTAATGGGACACTAATGTCATTATTTGCACAGTTTCAGGATCCAACGATTCTATCAGTAAACTGGAGTACTACACTGGGGAGAGTGTGAATGGATCTGATGCAGAACAAGGAAACGCTGAGGTGTTTCTTCCGAATGGTGAGTGAGTGAAATAATTATTGTATGCGATACAGCCTCTGATTAATTCGACGAGACGTTTCAAAGCACTCCACATATCTTCAGTGTGACTTGTAGTGATTGTGTATCTCCTGATGAACTGGAAAGGCAATTTGTGCGCAAAATATGCACAGTAATCAGGAGGAACGTGGGGCAACCCTGCAGTATAAGAACTATTTCCCTTTTGAGATTTGCAACATTTAAATTCCAGCTAAACAGGCAAACGGAGCTCAATGCACTGCACTCCCCCAGTACTGCCTTGAAGAGCTATCCAGAGTGTGATCTTAGTCCCCGAGTGGATTACAATCAGAACCTTCCGACCCAGAGGCTAAAGAGCTCCCAATTTATCCAGTTTTCACAGTAAAACAAGCTTTAATCTTCAGATAAAGTATCCGAAACGAAATTCAGGACTTTTTCATAGTTCAGGCATAAGATACATTGAGCACCACTGTGTCCAAATTTGGGTGGATATGGATAGACATTTGGGGAACAAATTTGCAGGAGCGCGGAAGAGTTGGAGTAATTTTGGTCGCTCTTTCAATAGATGGACTGAATGGCCTCCTTCTGTGCTGTATAATATTATGATATCTGCCTCCTTTTCCTATCTGAATGTTTGAGTGCGTAAGACTGACTCCCTGTTATCAGATCATCTTCAGGAAGATTATGATTATGACGACGCTGAGAGCGGAACCTTCCAGATGGCGGACCGGGGCCTCCTCCTGGTCACTGACACACACCCTGATGTCCCCGCACTGACCAGTCACACTGTCCAGGAAGCCTCGCTCTGTCAGGGTAAGAGCCGAACTGTCATGTCTTAACTTACTGCGGGAGATATTTAATCAGCAACACATCTGGGAGTGAAAATCATCATCACAGTCGCAATTATCATCAATCTTCCATTCCATACAGAAATGTAATGGCATAAGGACAACAAGAATTACAATTGTGCAGTGCCTTTCAAGTTAGGACGTCTCGGACAGGCTTCAATGTGTAGTGACTGTATGTGTAGGCGAGTTGGTACGTGTTTGCACCATGGGATTGGTAATAGGGCGGCTGGAGATATTTGGCCTTGTTGTGATATCTAAAATCAGAATAATTACGGGTCGATGTGCAATCTGAAATGGATATTTCTCGGTTTGATGAATTCATCTCCGAGGCGCTCTGTAACGCCAATAACTGCACATACATAATGGTGCTCTGTGCAGTGTCAATAACTGCACATATAAAATGGTGCTGTGACTTACCGATTAACGCAGATATCCTTGTTCCTACGTCTTGTTAATAACAACCAAGATCCAATGAAGGAAATAATCGTTTACAGCACTATCAGCAATTATTGAAACGCACGTTTAAAAATTTATAATCTGGTTAAAATTTAACAAGTGAGGAGGAATTCCATCTTGAATGCCCAACCCTTCCAGTTTTTTAAAATTCTGATTGTAGTGATGGAGGTAAGACACACAATCAGAAATCCAAGATGGTTATCTCCGCAATCGGTATTTTTGCCTCACACACAAACACACAGATACACACGCAGAGACTCACAGACATACACAACATACCTGTGTACACACAGACACAAACGCAGCACATACACAATCATAGACAGACACAGGCGCACACAAACAGACACACACCGAGACACACAACACACAGACACTCACAGACAGATAGGCACACACAGGCAAACACACAGACAACACACATAGACACTCAGACTCACTATATACAGACACACAAATGCAGACGCAGACCACACTTACAGAACACAGTGACACCTTTCTGAATGTAATCACTAATAAATGATGGTCTCTCTCTGCAGAGGGTGGACACCACACAGACAGTGACCCGCTGTTTCCTGTTGACACCAGTCAGTGTGTTATGATTATGATGATATTGACTGTGAGAATAACACCGAGAAGAACAGACAACTTCCCGTCGGGAATCAAAGGGAATCTCCTGAGCTCTGCACCGTCTGATCGCAACATCCCCATCAAACAGGTGAGTTCATGATTTACAGCATTACTTACATCACAGAAAGCCGCCAATGATTGATATGATCGTCCTGGTGACATGTGTAACTAGTAATCACAGTTACAGGTGATTGTAATGGTTATACAACTTGACCAACACCGGTCAGTGATTTTAATCATTCACAATCCTGACTTGAGGCTGATATTAGACAGAATGGCAGTGATCATGTGCAAGCCGTCACACATGTATTCACGCCAATTGATGATGGAATTAAAATTAAAAACTTCTTGTCAGAAACTTCACAGTGATGTGATCCATGGTTGGATGCGACTAAAACATTAATTTATATTTACTATTCTAAACTGTTGGAACTATTTTCTTTATTTGACTCAGAGATTATTGTTCCTATACGTTACGCGCAAAACTTTTATTTTATTTTCCTGAATCAAAAATTTAATTTCACATTCTGCTATTTGAGCGTAAAAAGTACTTCTTCCTTGTAAATGTGGTATCAAATGACAGAAACATTAACTAAAACAGTTGGAAACAGTCTCTCAAACAGCAGCCGGTGAACGAAACCCAAGTAACCGCCCCAGAGATTGTCATTGCCAATGTGCTGTACTTTAGGATGTTATACATGGATCAATATTATGTTATTGATGAGAATAAACTTATTTCCTTTAAATAATATCTTTTATTGTCTATTTTACAGAGCCATTCAACCGAAATTTCATCACCAATAATTACTGATTATCTTTAGATAGAAAACCAGTGGATAAGATGAATATACACGTTCCACCAACTTACCAACGCAATTAATATGAACCCGTGTCACATCTTTCTGTGATAGCAAGTTTCCATGTGTGTTCTGTGTAAAACATTCTTCTGTGATTTTCAGAATGATTTGTTTGCATTTCAGGGTGAATTTAATGCATATTTTAAACATTGCAGTAAACTGACGCCTTCGCTAGTGCTATCATATTACACAGAAAATGGTTGTATTTTTATCCTTTCTATTTGTTTTGAATTTACTTTATGCTTACGATTCTAGACTGCAATGCGCTTAAGTTTTTTTTATTTCCCGTCATTTTAAAACATTATTGTGACAAAATATTAGATTCTGCACATATTTGCTTAGTTTTTTGTTGAATTATATCAATCATGTTATTTATCCTAAAAGAGTCATTGGTCATTGGTAAAAAAGATCCAGTTTCAGATGAAACTTGTATCGGAACCAGAAAGTTCTATGTTATTCTGTAAACCAGGCGAGTATTAGTTTTGGGAATAATGTAAAAGTACAAGAGCAAACAAAAGAGAATTGATGTTATGACATCAATCACCATGTGTCACAAGAGAGATATCTGCTCTTGACTGTTCATCTAATTAACAAACAGATTGTAAATGGTGAGTTAAACTCAAATAGACTTCAATAAATATCAAATGGTCATGTAACCGCCCAGTTGTTTGTCATTGTTTTCAAGTGCAGAATCCACAAACCACTTACATCTGTCTGTCCCTGACCACAATGGATTGCAGAAGAATTAACAGGTTCGTGACCTGAAATTCGGTGTGATTCTCACGAAATACAGCCTGGATCACTGAAGAGGTGTGAGGTAGAGGGCAGTGATGTGGGGTAGAGGCCAGTGATTTGGGTTAGAGGGTAGTGATGTGGATTAGAGGGCAGTTATGTGAGTTAGAGTGTAGTGATGTGCGGTGGAGGACAGTGATATGGATTAGAGGGCAAGGATGTGGGGTAGAGTGCAGTGATGCGGATTAGAGGCGGCAGTGATGTGGGGTAATAATAATAATCCTGCATTGGTATAGCGCTTTCACGTCGGGAGGACGTCCAAAGCGTTCACAGAATAACTGTAAAGTGATTGACTGTATATTGTGGCGAACGCGGCAGCCAATTGCGCACAGCAATGTCCACAAACAGTCGTAGATTGAAATGACCAATTTATTATGTTTGTTTGGAGGGATATTATTAGGCTCTGTGTGGGTAAGGAAACTGCCAAGGTTCGCCTCTGCTGGAATTGAACTCAGTTCTCTCACTTGCAAAGCGAGTGCTCTAACCACTGAGCTACAGGACTCCAAAGGGTAGAGGGTAGCGATGTCGGTTGGAGGGCAGTGATGTGGAGTAGAGGGCAATGATATGGGGTAGAGGGTAATGATGTGGATTGTAGGGCAGTGATGTGGAGTAGAGGGCAATGATATGGGGTAGAGGGTAATGATGTGGATTAGAGGGCAGTGATGTTGGGTTGTCCAATCCCGGCTGCTCGAGCGCAGATGGCAAAAACTGGCCTGACAGATCACCACCAACTGTGGTTCGAGCATCTCCACAGCTACAGACTTTCTTTGACGCGTGCGAAAACGGCCTTCCTCTCCAACATCATCCTGGAGACAAAAAGACAATTCTAAAGGCCTTTTTTTCCACTACCCATTACCTCGTCCGCTCGCTCCCTCAGGCCTCCACAATCTTCGCATCGAACGCCAAGTGCGAGGAGGTCATGGACTTCTTTTCAACTACAGTAAATATGTCCGCCTGGCAGCCTCATCCTCCTGCGTCTTGTCACCCACTAGCACTGCATCTTCGTGCCGCTCAGCCTCCCACCTCTCTTCCTACATTCAGGGCCGCGCCTTTGCTCACCTCCTTCCTCCACCCCCTCGCTCCGCCTCGGTAATATTTATTGCCAAGCGCTCTTAGCTTGGACGTCGCTACACAAATCTAAGTTTTTGTTGTTGATTGTCCATCAACTCCACAGTCTCTGAGCTCCAATGTCTGTGCTCTGCCCTCTGTACCCGTGGGCTCCTGAAGCTCTGAGCCCCTATGTCTGTGCCCTGCCCTGTGCATCCGTGGCCTCCTGAGGCTCTGATCTCCAATATCTGTGCTCTGCCCTCTGTACCCGTGGCCTCCTGAGGCTCTGAGCTCCTATGTCTGGGCCCCGCCTTGTGCATCCGTGGCCTCCTGAGGCTCTGATCTCCAATATCTATGTTCTGCGCTTTGTACCCGTGGCCTCCTGAGGTTCTGAGCCCCAATGTCTCTGCCCTGCCTTGTGTTCCCGTGGCCACCTGAGGGTCTGAGCTCCAATGTGTGCGTTGTGCCCTGGGTACCCGTGTCCTCCTGAGGTTCTGAGCTCCAATGTCTGTGCCCTGTCCTGGGTACCCATGGCCTCCTTAGGCTCTGAGCTCCAATGTCTATGCTCTGCATTGGATACCCGTGGCCTCCTGAAGCTCTGAGCTCCAATGTGTGCGCTCTGCACTGTGTACCCGTGGCCTTCTGAGGCTCTGAGCTTCAATGTCTGTGCTCTGCACTCGGTACCCGTGGCCTCCTGAGGCTCTGAGCTCCAATATCTGTGCTCTGACCTGGGTACCCTTGGCCTCCTGAGGCTCTGAGCCCCAATGTCTGTGCTCCCTCGTTACCCGTGGCCTATTGAGGCTTTTAGCCCCAATGTCTGTGCCCTCCTCTGGTTACACATGGAGTCCTGAGGCTCTGATCTCCAATGTCTTTGCTGCTGTGCGATTGTCTGCTTCAGTGTCAATACAATTTAATGTTTTATATGTTTAATTTCCACCTCTCTGAAATAAACTCACTTTAATTTTGTCTTCCATTTCTGAATCAGAATTAACATCCAGTGGCACAGGGAAAGGCTGGTGAAATGGACTAAACACGTTTTACTTTGAAAGACATGTCCAACAGATGTCTCTTTTCTGTTTCGCAAATGCTCAACACACAGTGATACCTCTCTGAGAAGTAAAGTGTGACTATGGCAACTGATATCCGATAACATCTCATCCGGCTGAGTGTTTCCTGCTTGAAATCAACTGTGTTTGCATGTGTGTGTGA